TTAGATGCCGGCTTAAAAATTCTCGATAGAAGGATACGCATGGAAAACTTTAAATCCTGAATCGGTTATCGGGGGATGCCAGAGAGAGCGAGTGTTTGTGTGTGTGTGTGAGAGAGAGAGAGAGAGTTTACACAGATTTTACGCTTGATCTGTTCCGTTCGCATTAACTTTTAAGCTATTATTCCGATTCGTAATAAGTTTTTTAAAAAATAACGTAGAGAAGGGGGGAAAATATACTGAAATAATCGCCTTTCCCTCCACTAGATTTCAATAGTGATACAGCCATCCAATTATTTGGTTCAACTCACTCAAGTGTAAGAGATATCGGCAAAACGGACAGACAATGTAGAAAATGGCTTAATTAGCGACGAACGTCTAAAGGTTTCCAATATTGCTACAAACCAGATGGACAGAACAGATTGCAAAGTGGAACCTGGATGATCTGATTAACCGGGCGCAATGGGGAAAAGGAAGAGGAGGAGGAGGAGGAGGAAGGAAGGAAGGAAGAGGAAGAGAGAACGAAAAAAAAAAAAGATACCCAGGCATAAACTCGGCATTAACCTATGGAAAACAACAATCCTTCTACTCGACAATAAAAATTCGGATAATTTGTTAGAGTAAAATTATAGATTTACCTTCTATTAATTTTCTTATTGGGATCGAGTTGAGTGATTAGTAGCAATTTACCATCCGAAAAGCGTATATTTAATGAGAGTCATCATTAGTTATTCTGAAAATCTGCATAAAATTCGCGCTTACTTAAATATTTGCACAGAGTAAAAATATAAAGTGAGAGAGAATATTACGGGCGATGGAAAACCAAATAAATATTCTCAGACTTTAATAATAATAAATCAACATAATTTACATCTTTTTATAATGCTAATAGACTATAACAATGAAACGCTATCAAAATTATTACTATTCTTTGAATTAACTTGTATCCACCCATAAAGGTTCGTGAAATCTTACGCATTTGCGTGACAATCTTATTCGGTCGCATGCGTGTTTCGTGATGATTATCAAAAGACATATCTCGTAGCAATTTCTGTTATAAAATATGTTCGTAGACGTTACTATGGTAACCGGGACATCTTTATCCTTGTCAACATACTTAAGTCTGATCTTCTGTATTTTAATTACAACCAGGAATAGCTCTTAGCTGTTTCCTTATTTTCCTAAATCACTTATTTTAATGGCAAAATACACCGAATTAGATAACAAGTTTGATAGAAATGTTTGCAAATTTCTGCGTGTATCTGGCACTTTTAACGATTCTAAACATCTCTTTTTTTAAATTTTATTCTTAGAATAATTTCTTTCTTTTTTTTTAAAAGTTGGTTGAAGTTTTCGCTTTTAATTTCTGATACCTTAATTAAAGCGAAAGGAGAGAAAAGAGATGTGAAGATACGGAGATCCTTTTTGCATTATTCACTAAACTCTGACATGCAAAATTCCTGCTTCTGGTATCTTGAATTTGTTTAAATCTGCGTAGCGATTCTACTTCAAAGCCTTTGATTATATCGAAGGATAGGAAAGAAATTCCTTCACCAGGCTAATACAGAAATATACAAATAATTAAGGAGTTTATTCCGAAAGAAAATGTATCCTGTTATTAATAATAATAATAAAAAAATATATATCAAGAGATGTGTAATATATATATATATAAAAAATTCTTTAGTTAGTGACAAAACTTTCCTAACAGGAGCCATCGATATTCGATTCTGTTTCGGACCACTAAACCGCAAGAAAAACTACGTAAGAGGACAGCGGACACCGACAGGTACGGACAATGATGTATGACGTCGAAATGGTCAGCGAGCCATACCACCAGCTGGCCACATAAACCAGGATTAAATCACCATCCATCATAGCCGCAGGTCTCACACCAGAATGAGGTATGTCAGCTCCCTGATACCACAACACGTGTACCTGGTTCACCCCCTTAAAGCATTTACATATTAGGTACCTAGCTGTGGATCAAAACTACGTTAAATGGTGCTTCACGTTTCCTTACTTAAGAGCGTCATTATGCCAATATAAATTTATCCCTTAGACAAACATAATTTACCAAACGTTATATTGGACTAACATGGTGAAATTCACCTTCATTTACTAGTCAATTGTTATGTAAAAGATCGGCGATTCGATCGATGAAGAAAAACCTTCGATCACGCGATGCGTTCCTCAACATAGCGTAGAGTCACGGTGACGTCTCTGTCTTTTTTAGTCACGCGAACGTGTCCTTAGAGTGAGATTCTCGATAGCATCACGAACCATTCTCTCACCTTCGCTTTAGCGCTACAGACGGTGACGAAGTAGCCATCGCGACGACTTAACGAGGCCACGGACAGACAGTCGATCAGGAAATTCAATGAAATCCAATACTGGCTCACACACACACACATATATATGAACCTAATTTCTACACCGAACAGGGAACAGGTTTCATAAGACAACGCGCGATCATTCCAACAAGTCAAATAATTTCAATACAAAGAAAGAAATGACGTAAAACGAATTCACACTAAAACACTTTCATACGAAACAATTCATCCGACGAGACATCTTTTAATTAAATCCGAATAGCCGCCATAACTCTCAAAGCAGTAAACCAAAATAACGGGATCAGAATTAACGTGGTGTGTGTGTGTGTGTGTGTGTGTGTATGGGAGGGGGGGGAGAAAAACTCGATTTAAGCAAATTATTTCTAATAAATCATCTTACAGGATAGGTTGCGTCGTTCAATTATCAACGACTTATAATCCCAACAGGGTAGTTATTTAATGGCGTAGAAACGAATCAGAGAAATCCAATCAAAATCATGGCAATGGAATAGATGGTTCCAGAAATTTCATCTCTCGCCCACGTCTCATTTCTAGGAAATTGGATGGTACATCCCTCCTATCCACAAAAAAAAAGAAAAAAAAAAGGCCGGACTCAGAAACGGGGGAATAGAGTAGGACAGAGACAACCCCTCATTAATCTGTTGTGCGTTAAACTCCGCGCTAGCGTATATTTTTTCTTTTCTATCTAGCTCAGCTGAAATTCCAATCTAGTTTGTAGGGTGCACGCGACTCTTTTCCCTCCCTCGATACTATAACGTTGTTACTACCAATTTCGGATTTTATTTTTTTATTTTATTTTATTTTTTTATTTTTTATTTCTATTGTCTGATGAAGACAGCACAATGATTTGTTGTACTCCGACCATTTCAAACATGGGAATTTGGTCGTCTGTTAACCATTGATGAAAACGTCTCTTACAACAACAAAAAAAAATTTTTTTGGCATTTGTAAATTTCTCCAACTTCGGTGGCTCGTCCACTTTCTCTATTTAATAACACAACCCAGTAGGAAATTTTAAGTTATGCAAAAATCCCCAAAAAGAAAAAAACAGAGGAAGGAACAGGGAGAGAAAAAAAAATCAAATAACGGATTTTTGCTCTATCGGAAAATCGTTATTTAAGGAATTTAAATGGAGGATACCTTCCATATTACGTCATGCACAAGTATCAAAGATCAGGAATGTAAACAGCATTATAGTCATGCAATAGATTTAACCTATATGTAGGATGTTATATGGGTATTTTCCTTGACCTTATAAAATACTCGAATTAAAGTAATAATAAAGAAAAAAAACTATATTAAAAGAAAAAAAAACATTTATTTAGAGTAATATATAAATATATTTTTTTTAATCTTTGAACGTTAAACGAGACAAAAGCTATTATTGAATAATTAAATAAACGAAGTTTTTTCGTGAATGGCAAACATTAAACATCAAATAAAGATAAATTCTCTTCAATATATATATATATATTTTTTTTTTATTTTCTCTCTTATTTTATATCTTTAAAAACGAGTTATTTTTAGTTTTAACATTTTCGTTAAATATCGGTTAACGATTTAAACTCGTTTTAATTATTCTATTTTTTACCCTTAATGCGATTTTTACGTGTATTTTTAGGATTAACCAGCCATGTTTTATTCTAGAAAACATGGAAGTTTAACTAGTGTATATATATATATATATTTAAGTCCTCGTAATACAGTCCCCCCCCTATAACACTGTTGATAATTCCATTTTATATGAATTCCATGTTGTACGAGTCACTTAGATTTTACAAATATGGGAGCTGTTCACAGCCCAGCACACGTATTTGTAAAATCTAAGTGACTCGTACAACATGGAATTCATATAAAACGGAATAATCAACAGTGTTATAGGGGGGGGTTGACTTGTATAGATGATCTCTTCGATAGAGGAGTGGAGAGTGAAGTTTGATACGTAACGAAACGTAATTTATACTACCAAATTACACGAGGATTTACTACTATAAAAATTCGAAGAAGGGGTGAGGGGGTGAGGAGAGTCGTATTAGAAACAAACGAAGAGGTTGAAGAGCTAGAAAATTATTCATCGTGACGTTTCCTCGTTTCGTGTTTGGCACAGTTCGATGTTGTAAACGTCTATCCAACTCTTTTCTATTTTCATCATGACTCGTTAGTCGAGTATACCTTGTCCTTGTCTCTAATCAGAATGAACTATTTCCATCACCCGAAGCTCTTCTATTTTATCAATTAAAAGACCAAACGAGTTATTACAACACCGACCCTCCATTTTTATTTACATCTTTTTCTTTTCTCCTTCTTAAATTTTCATAAAAAAAATAAAAAAAACACACCGTAATAAATTACAAGCTAAGCACGTAATTTTATTTCACAGAAGGGTGAATAAAATATGAGTAATAGGCGACACCGCGACCAAACTGAAGCAGCGAATCTCACAGATTGAATAATTCAAGATGAGTAAAAATTCGCATATATGTACAGTACCCCCCAAATATATATATATAATGTAATTAATATAGTGTTTAATATATATATACACATACATAAATACGTATACGTGTATATAAGAGTATTAGAAAGCCCATAAAAGTGTATTCTAGTAAGTGCGCGTTATACGAGTTTTTCGTTAATAAAATATCAGATTTTTGCGGGGAAATTGTTATTTATACAATGATTTTTATTAAGGTATTATGCTCTTCCTATCGCCATACAGGTAGAGAATATCCCGAGGTTATAATGAACGAAATATCACGACAGTAATTTAAGTGCCGGAAAGGTTAATTAAAGCTATGCCTCACTTCCGGAATGGCACCTCGGGGCTTCTATAGTAACAATATCGGCACGTAAGGCATGCGCAGTGAACAGATCCGGTTGCAAATTCTACTTAAGTGTGAAACGAACAAAACGGATTATTATTATTTTTTTCTTTTTTAATTAAAAAAAAAAGGGGGGGAAAGATTTTTCGTATTATATTATTAGTGTTTAAAGATTTATTAATGTTTTCTTCTTCTTCCTCCTCCTCCTCCTCTTTTCTTTCCATTTTTGTATATTATTTATATATAAAAGTATTGTTGCTGTGTTGTGAAAAGCGAATTCGTTTGTTTCCCGATATTGCGTGCGAATCGTAACACGTGAGACGGATAAAAGGGAGGGTGGAGGCGTGTTTCGGTTAACTGTCGCTAGGAGGCATGACGCTGGAGATGTGTAGAAGGGATTTTTACAACGCGACTTTACGATGTGTTTGACGGGTGATTTTACGATCTGTTGGTGAACTCCTACAGACGTAAAAATACTCAATGGTTGATGACGTCACGCACTCACGCTCGTTCGGTCCGAAAGGTAATTGCGTTTAAATTGTCGTAACGTGAATTATATATTTTTTTTAACTTTTATTTTATTTATGATTTTTTTTTTTCCGATTGGCCAATTTTTCACTTCCGTATCACCACTTCTTTTTTTTTTCTCTACAAAGAGCAGCTGTTAACAAAACAACTGCGCTTCCTTGGCAACCAACGTGTAACACGTTACCATGCCAACTGCACGTTCCCAGCACGTGCGCTGTCGATTTCATCTGTTGCCTATGGTCGTCATGGTAACGCTACTTCTCGCTTCACTTACTAGATGGCGTCCACGTCTGTTAAAAAAAAAAATGTTGCCAGATCGCATCCGGTTATGATGTCATCGGTCCGGAGAAGATATTTTTAATAAAAAAATCATTTAAGAAGGGATAGTAAATGCGTATTTATTTATTTTCCGATTGGTGTATCATAATTCGACGAGTTTCCGTCATTGTTTGGTTAGGTCGTGCATAATTCATTGGAAGCGACGAACGGCTATGTAGCAACACACGCACCGCTTAACTTTATGCTTCTTTTATGACTCGACGGGATACTGACACTTTTCTAAACAGATACTCAACAGTTGATCGTCGTTTTGAACCGTTTCAACCATCGGGTTTTTGTTTTTTTTTTCCAGTAGGATTTAAATTGAATACCCTCCAACGATACTTATGTATGTCGTTACGGTATCGATCACCTGTTGTCTTTGACCTATTCCCATAGCGTTAGTCATCTATTAAACGTACCTTTATATATATAAATCGAATCGAAAAATTTCCAAAAAAAAAAACAGAAAATAATTAAGTGTAAAAACCAATTTAAATCAAAAAATTGAGGGTAAGTAACCGGCGAAAAACACATTTAAACCAGTTGCGGGGTGTTATACCGTATTCATAAAAGAAAATGGTTTCGTTCCATAAATCAACAATAGAACCCTGCCACTATTTGTATCAACTATTGATCGTGTTTACGGGTTTTTCTTCGTACTGAAACAAAGCGGTTGCGAGTCTACTATATTCCGAGTGGTGTACAGTACGTTCCTCAGTCGGTTTTATTGATGCGGGTTCGTCTCCTCTAGGTAAAATAATTCATTCCCCCCCTTTTTTTTTTTCTTCCCGCAAAGAAAAATCGCCTTCTTACCACACCACGAACACACACACACACACACACAAAAAATAATAATAATAATACACAACACTAAAGGCAAAGTTACAAAAAGCTAGAAAGGAATTCTACTATAAACTCTGCATGCATTTATCGAGTTATCTTTGTACTGAAGTGAAAATTGCTTTGATTTTATATCAATATTAATGTTTAATGTACGTAGAACATGCAAAGAAAATTTAAATTTTCTGCAAAATAAATATTTTATAAGCTTATATATATATATGTGTGTGTGTGTGTGTGTGTGTCTTTGTCTGAAATTACTTTTATATTTATTTATTTTGTAAACCAACTCTATATATATATATATAAAGAAGAAAGACAAAAATAAAAATAGTCAAAGAGGAGTTGGGATTTTATTTTTGGAATCAAATTCAATATAAGAAATTTGGTAAAAAACCGAATACGGTTCCTATTTCGTAAGATAGAATCATTCTCCAGAGTGTTATTCCTTATCTAAAATCAATATTATATTTTTAAGGAGGATAATTTGATAAACACGCTTGGATAATTTATAGATTGTGTGTATTACGGGACTAAGAACACCAAAAAAAGGGATTAATTTTAAGGATATATCACTTTAAAAAAACAATCTTTAATAATAAAGAACGTATATAAAAGAGGTATAAATAAATTAGTCACTTAACTTATAATGGAAAGGAGGAAGAAGGTAGAAAAAGTGCTGAACTGTATCAAGTTTAGGTATTTGGATTAACATTCTTTCCTATAATAGATCGAATACCGGAGCGCTAATGGTAGGAAATCTAAATTAATAAGGTACATAAATTCGATAACGTTAATTATATAAAGAAAAGTATTCTTTACAAGAAGAAATAAAGGAAACGTTTACACTTTATACGCCTCTTGAAATAGGTATAAAAAGAAAAGGGGAGGGAGGGAAGAGGAAGAAGAGGTTATAAAATAACCATTTGATAGCATTTTAATTTTCATAAAAGGGCGAATAGTAAAAATATATTTTTCAAAGCTACTTTAGCCTTACGATAAAGTAGAAACTATAGTACTACTACAGGAACGGAATGTTTACTTTTCACATGATATACTTCATACACATTTTTTATGTAACAGAAAACGGAAATATAACGGGGTATTATCATAAATGATGTAACTGTATTTTATACTATATTTCACAAATATATAACCCCGCTACCGTGTAGAATATACACGTTATAAAACAGTAAGATATGCCTTATGGGATAATCGTGCATAGAAAAGTGAAAACTATTCGGATATTTTCTGAATATAAAATGTCACCGAGAGGATCTACAATGGAAAATAATTCAACAATACACTCGAGTTTTAAACAGTAATTTCTCTATACTCTATTGTAATATATTCTATAATAATTATAATATTAATTCGAAGCGAATTTGGCGTATAAAAACAAATAAAAAAACACAGAAGAATTGCTAAAGAACAAAAGAAGTTTGTTTTACATTAAGAAGGTAGCAAAAATTACATGTTTTTCGCATCAAATTATGCTCATTTTCTTTTAGATATCACCAATTTATGCAACGATATTGGCAAAGGGGGATTATAATAATAGTCGGGGATTTAATATAATACAAGATTTATTAAAGCAATCCATCTTTAGCAAAGTAAATTTCACGATAGAATTACAAGAGCTTAAGTTTATGCATTGGTCAAAAATAAATAAATGAAAAAGGAACCAATAAAAATAACGAATGTGTTGTGTGGATTTGGTACTTAACTATCTTTTATACATTTAAGTAGACTAAAAAGCTTGGCAAATTATACCCTTATAATTTGTTTTTATAAATTTATATTATACCATAGAAATTTAATTTTCAACGTTAAAAATTTCAGAATCGAATCGTTTTTTTTTCTATCGATTTAGATAAAAACTGACGTGAGATACGATCTCTTTATACCTTATTTTACTTTATTATCTTCTAAATATATGTAGCACTATTAAAAGTGTTCGATAAAATGATCGATCATAAAACATTTTGATCAATCTTGGTCTAATAATAATAATATCCAGACAGACTATTTATGAATGTGGTCAGCAAGTGTATATATCAAGGTTATACTCTCCCATCTGTCATATTTTTTTTAAAGCATTAAAATAAAAGAACGATACGGAATTTGATCTTTATACTGTATAACTATTTCTGTCGAATGTATCGCGATTTGAATTTAAATTTCCAGTGTTTTTCCTTTTGAAATGGATGGCGAAATATACACTTCTGCAACCGGAATTTCGCGTGATAAATATTAAAATAATTACTTTAAATATGTAATTAAAGAGTTAAAATTTTTAAAAAAAAAGTACCTTTTTGGTATTTATAGAATGTGGTAGAATGTTGTAAACAGGGAAGAAAGTTGTAGGAAAAATGTATTTAGAAAGTTAACCAAACGAGTAAAATCGAAAATTGGACAGAATTTGGAAACTATTGGCGCAGAAAATGGTATTGTTAGAAAGATAAAAATACTTTTATCTGTACAAGACCGTTTAGAATGTTTACATTTACTAGAACCCGAATAATGCACCCCACCCATCGACTTATTTTTGTAATCAAAAACAGAGTTTTGACCGAGGGCAGTTGGTAACAGAAGCGAACAAAAGGATGTCTTGTTTTTACCCCAGGCATTTCTGAACACACCACATTTAAGAGGTGGTGACAACAACTAAAAACTGAAATAAGGTCAAAGGCATAATTACAGGTGAGTGTCGAGGGCCCTCTGAAGACCCCCTAAGGGTCACTGTAGAGTTCTCACCTCTTCTGCTGACCAAAACTGGGCATTCCCATACCAAGCTAGTAAATGTTATCTTACCGAATGCTTTCTCACGATGTTTTTAAAAACGACATCGGTTAGGTATTTTCCGGTCGTATACAATTAGCCTGGGGTACCACAGCTGCATTATGGTTCAGAGTACAAGAAAGTAAAATAAGATACTGAGCAATTTTTATAATTGACAAAGTTAATGGTTAGTTTTAAATATTACCTTCTTTTCCGCGCATTTTGTCCCTCGTTTCTGTTAGACGGGGTTGTTTATCGATAACGTTTTACGCCGTGTCCACTGTTATCACCAAATTTCTAATGATTTAAATATATAATTAGCAAAAGAAACTACTAAAAAAAGGGGGGGAAGGAAAACGTTGCCGTTAAAAAAGGGGGAAGTAACTAAAGGAAAACAGAGTAGCGAAATAGAAAAATGTCCCATGTTCTAACTAGCTGTCAGTCTTGGGGATAGAATTTCCGACTGACCTCTGACCTCTCCAACAAGCGTGCAACACGTGTCCCGTGCGGCGCAAGATCGCGCGACAGAAAAGAATGCTTTCATATATACCACGTCATCCATCAAGTGAGTATTTTAGCAGCTGTAAAAATATGAACATTGAATGGTTTCTTGTATCCGAGATGATGTGGATCAATTTACCTCCCACACTTTTAAGTTTTGGGTGGCGGCGGCGGCGGCAAGTTATAAGTTGAAAAAGTCAATCGGCCGGAGTAAAGCGAGCAGACAAAGTTGGATTAGCAGATTGACAGTAAAGCTAAACGTCAAACTATTGCAGGGGACCGAAGAGAGACAGGTGGCCTAGGGAAGTACAATATAAAAACCCCCATCCCCATCTGCTAAGTCTGGGTATAGGCTGAAAGCAGATCGTACCCTGCAAGGTAAAATGGTGGACGGAGACCGAAAATAACGGAAGATTTCCGTGCCCGTATTAAGTAAGAAGAGGCCATCCATTATAAATTCATTCCTTAGCGGCTTAAACATTACTTGAACTATGAATGAACATTTTTGTAACGTACGTAGAGGGCCATAAATCAAATTGTCACTTAGCGCCATCTACTGACATTTCGGAATACTAGGACGTGTCAGCGATTTGACGTCTGCTGGTACGTCCTACCAGGTTGGGGATTGACGGGGAGACGTACAGCTGGCAGGGTGCCCCCTCCCCCGATTGACAACGGGCAGAGAGAATCATGCAAATACCCCACTGAGGCCTCGTTATACACGGCCGGTGGCCAGCTATAGACGCCCGGAAAAACATGCCCTTCTTCCCCTTACAAGAGCGCGGTGTTTATGGCACAGGAAGTGTACGTCATTTAGGACGATATTTTGTTCCCTGCCCTTTGTCAAATAGCTACAATAACGG